ACTAATCCGCTGCCCGACATTTGGAGCTCAGGAGGTAATGGGGGAAATCTAGTTGGGACAAGGGTAGAGGAAGCAGGAAAGGCACAGCCTAAGAAGTCAGTGAGATATTAAGGCCACTGATCAAACAGTTTGGCGCTTGGCTCCAGGAATTCTGGAGGAATCTGTGAGTTTGTAAAATAGAAAAAAAACTACATGCCGATCCCCATCCCTGCCCACATCTAAAACAGACGTGAAACAGAAGGTGGCTGCCACGAGGACAAAAAGCGGGTACATTAACTTCACGTTTAAAACATCCTTTTACTGGATACTGTTTTAATTCAGGGCAAATCTTGGGTTGAGTCAGTAGCTCAGTGGGTTGGGCAAGGGACAGTGAAGAAGAAATAAGACAGTAGGGACAGTTGTGTTGGAAGGTGTCAGTGGGCAGGGAAGCAGAGGGACCTGGGGTCCGAGGCGAATGCTTATAGGTGCCTCCCTGTGCCAGACAATGGGTAAAGGAAATGGGGACAAGGGCAAGAAGAGAAGAAGGGGAAGAAGGTGACCTACACCAAGAGATGGGCAGTTTCCTTAGTGAACTCTCCATCCAGCCGAGGACCGGGAGAGGTACTTGGAGGGAAGGATGCACAAGCCCCACAGCATAAGAGAAACCCAGGCCTGGAATTGGCACCTGAACTTCTCAGTCTAACAACTGGACCAAGAGAGAGGCAGAGGGAACATTATCACAGTGATCAAGTGGCTCAAAATTTCTGACCAAGTCCCCTTTTCAAGGACTCCAAGAAAAAAATATATGTTGCCTTGTGAACTGTTCCATATAGCTGGCCACAGCTTTCCAGAAAATTATAGCAGAGACCACCAAGATGGGTACATTTCAGACTGTCAAGCATGTGGGGGTCACTCTGTTCCTTTAACTCTTAAAAAATCTACATTACTGCTGGGCATGGTGGTGCACACTTCCCAGCGGCTTGGGAGACTGAGGCAGAAAGATCACAAGTTCAAAACCAGCCTCAGCATCTTAGTGAGGCCCTAAACAAACATCTCAAATAAAAAATGAAAAAGGATTGGGCACGTGACTCAGTGGTAAAGTGCCCCTGGTTAAAAAAAAAAAAAAATCTATATTACCTTGGGATTATACCTAGAAGACTCATGAGCTCCCGGGGAGCAGGCTAGGAACAGAGATAATTCTAGCCCAAACCCCAGGAGCAGCTGTCTAGTGTGCAGCAATGAATGAATGCAGCATTTCTTCATGTGGCATCTTATGAAATGCCTTGGCTTTTTCCAGATGAGGTCTCTGATGATGAGCGGGCAGGTGCAGTCAGAGTGTCTTTGAAGTGGAAATGCCACATGAGTACAAGTCCCTGTGACACCTGGAAGGCCCCACAACCCGGACCCTCTCTCACATTCCTGGCCTAACTGTTCTGGGATATGTCTGCATGTAGGTCCATCCGCCAGGGAAGATTCTTTCCTCCCATATCCTTGTGGTTTACCTTTAGTTTATCCTGATACAAGAGGTGGCTCCCAGGGCCTCAGGCATGCTAGGCAACTGCTTTGCCACACGCAACCCTCATGTTTTACTCTTGAACCTACGTCATCTGCTCTCTGATCAAACCTCACCACAGTGGGGCCCTGCCTACTCACACACTCTACTCAAATTGAGTCTGTCCCTAAAACTCACTGCCCCCCCGCCCCGCCCCGCCCAGGCTTTTCCTTATTTTGTATATTGTCTGTTTCCTGAGTGGAAGCTTCCAGAAGGAAGAAGGAAGGCCTCTTCCTGTGGTTATGTTTGCTTGCTTGTTTGTGTTGCTGCCTTGAGCTCACATCAGGCTGGACTTCAACAAGTGACTCTTAAGTGAATAAATTAGTGCAGACACCCTGGAGGTTCCTGTTGGTGTTGATGGAAGATCCCTCTGAGAGTGTTTGCTCGTCCCCAGCCGGGGAGGCCTTGAAGAGAGGGGGGCCAGGTGAAGGGTCAGAGAGCCTGCGTTCTGGGCCTCTCTTCTCAGAAATCCAAGAAGAGGAGCCAATCTCTGGAGAAACTGGGGCAGCAACAAACCTTTGACAGAATGTGGAGAATATCTGATTAATTTTGTTATTTAGCATATGAAGAAAAAAAGACAAAATGTAATCTAGAATCTTGACTGCATCTTAGGTTTAAAAGTGTGTATGTGTGTGTGGTATATGTATGAGAGAGAGAGAGAGAGAGAGAGAGAGAGAGAGAGAGAGAGAGAGGAGTATTGATTTGGGGGATGGTTGAGAAATTTGAAAATGAGCTGAATATTAGATGCTGCTCTAGGGAATCACTATCAACTTAGCTCTGATAATGGTTCTCAGGTTCTAAGTAAAATATTCTTGGGGGATATGTACCAAAGTGTTTAGAGGAGAAAAATCATAATGTCTGCAATTAATTTTCAAGTGACTCCTGAGAGTGGGTACTGTTCACTCATATGACGACTCCCACTTTGTCCCCACAACCAGGCCCCTGTCCCCACCAAGATACCACCAGCGTTCTGGGCCTGTTTCCACCCATAAGAGGAAGACCTGTAGTGGGCGGTGATCTGTACGACAACAATGAGGAAACCACGGGTTTCTGTCAACATTTGTTCACTTGGGTCCTGGACTGTGACATTGATTTGAAAGTGATTCTGGTTCCCTTAGTCACATATCAGAGGATCCTCCAGTCCCGCTGTGCTCTGCCCTTTTCCTGCACATACCAGGTTGGACTCCTCCAGTCTCTTTCTTTACTAGGGGAATACATAACCGATTGGTCAATACAGCCCATGACCTTTGTAATTTCTCTACTTCCATCTTTGTTTTTCTCTACTCATTACTAAAGACTAATCCACCTCTGTTTCACCTGAGGTTTCAGAGCAAATGACGAGCAAGTATTCTCGGTTTTGCTGCACAGACGGGAAACCAGTCTCAGAAATATAAAGTGTCTTGTCCAAAGGCAAAAACCCAAATGGCAAAGAATCCTGAATGAGTTTCAGGATTCCCACTTCCCAAACCTCAGCACCCCTCCTGGCAAAAATGTAGCATTCTTCACTCAACCTGATCACCTCCACCCACCCACCCAATTTCAAAACGCCTGCAGCTCGTGGTGGGAAGATGAGGAGTCTGTCACCTACCAGGGTGGAGCCTGCTTCCAGCTGCAGCCTGTAGAAAGTGTCCTGGTTTCGTTTTGCCCCCCTTGGTGAAGCCCACTTTTGCAGCCGGTACCTGAGCACAAACATTAGTGATTTAGATTTTTTCCAGCTGATCTGCATGCAACCTTGTGGGATTCAAAGCTATCTTCTCTCAGATGAAGATCTTCCATTTTATTTCTTAAAAAAAATAAAAACAAAAAGTTTTTAAAAATGGCCGAGGAAGGATTTGTATGGTTTGCCAGAAGAAGTTTGGAAAAGATTTATCCTGTCTCTCAAATTCAAAATCCTTGCAAGCACCACGGCTGGGAATTCAAACAGAATCATCTGAGAGTTGAACATGTGCTTCATCCTGGTTTTCAAAACGAAGGGGAAACTTTCAGCCAACAGACATCACAGACCAAGAGGAGTGAAGGACAGTGACCTCAGATGAGCTTCGGGGTGAAGCCTGGTGAGGAGGGGAGGTTGTCCTGCCCTTGGAGAACATGTCCATGTGGGCATCCCTCAGGAATCTGTTTCACTTTAAAGGAGAAAATCCTACAGTGACTCTGAAAGGCATATGATTGCTGTGACCAAGAGAAGCAAGAAAATACAAGGCAGCTTCGCCACTGCAGTGCCAGGCATGTGGCCTTTAAAAAGACCATGGAGACGCCATCTCCACTGGACAAAGCTGGAGAGCCTAGGGCTTGGGGAAGTCCAGAGGGCCTTAGGGTGGTACCTGCATTTCACCATGGACTTTGGAGTTTTACCAAGATGTGCCACACAAGCCCTCAGCACTGGTGGGCTCCTGTCTTTTCTAGGGCTGGGGGGCAGCACCACGTCAGTTGGTCAGATGACCCCAGGGAAGGAACTCGGTCCCCCAAGGGAGGGTCAGGAGCAGGAGCAGGACCAGGCCTGACAGGCAGAATAACTCCTTGGGCTCACTTCTTGAGATGGTCTCTCAGGCAGGAGCAAGAAAGGGCCAGAGCATATTTTACCTGGAAAGAAATAGGGCAACTAAGAGGAAGTGTGTGTGGGGGGATGGTACCGGCTGCTCAAGGCTGCTGTCTCCTCGCTCAGCACCAGCTTTCACCAGAAAAGCCAGACCTGCTTCAGATGGAGTCGCTCTCTTTAGTTATTCTCTTTAGAAAGAGGAATGGAACTGTTTCCTTTTAAAGCTTCAGAAAGCAAACTGCCTACATGGCCTGAAGAGGAAAAGAAATGGTGGGATGTCAAAAGTCAGAGCTGGCAAGAGGATTCATTTGGGACCAAGGCAGCCTGCACAGGCGGTGGCTGTCGCTTTGTGTCCCTCCTGACTCCAGGTTGTGAGCTCAGTTGGCCTCGCTCTCCTTGTGGCCCCAAGCTTAGAGATAGTAGGAGGAGCTTCCTAAATAATGGCTGGTGTGAACCAGTGAACAGATCACAAGTCCGCCAGGAACGGCCAGCTCGAGAGGAGCTTGAGATTGGTTTCCAAATATTGGTCAAGAGCTCTAAGTTAGGATGTGCCGAGGATAGAGTTAATTTAATGGGTTCATACGCCTGGGTGGCTTTTCTGCTTCTAGAAGCCTGAGGGGAAGACAGGGTAGTGCACTGGGGTCGTCCTGGGAGGAGAGAACTAAACAAAGTTAGGGAAGGTTTCTAAGGGGGACATGAGCTGTGCCGGTGCAGCTGCCTACTCTACCCCTTGGGCCTCCATGCCTGCCTGCCTGCTGGCAGTGTTTGACCAAAGGTGATGCTGACTTAGTGGACTAAGGTCATGCCCTCCCTTCCCCCACAATCGATCATTTAATGTGACTTATCAGAAAGAGAAAGAACTGTTTACTTTTAAGCCCTGAATCCCATAAAGGGAGAGGGGAAAGGCCTAAAAGCCACAGAAGCTCAGGGCTCTCGCCCACAGCTGCCTCCTGCGCAGCCGGCAGATATAGGGAACATGGACCCAACCATCCTGCTGGCCAGAGGAGTGGCCCCGGGGTTGAGAAGACCAGCACAAAATGAGGTAAGTGCCTCCCTCCAGGGGCTTAGTGGAATGACAGTGAGCTGCTAACTCAGGTGTTTAAAGACCCACACATCACCTGAGCCTCCCCAAGTGTCGAACACACGATGTTTGAACTTTCTGCATGACTCTTCTTCACTTTCTTCAGAAAACCTGGGGGAAACTGGAGACTTTATGGAAGATTCTTCTCAGTTCTGTGGAGAGGAAGGGTGAGGCTAGGGATAAGTGGAGGGCCAGAGGCAATGTGAACTTCCATTTCTGCCCTGGAGTGACAGCACTCAGGTAATTCCCACATTACAAGAATCTGATTTATCGATAACACCAAGGGCTTCAATCAGAATTCCACCTGTGTGAGTGACTTGGGTTTATTTGACCAGGAATCCTTTCCTTTCCTGTGCTTTAGGGCAAGCACACAGGCAAAAACCACTGTGCATTGTTCTTGTACATCTAAAGTACGGGTATTGGAGCTGCTTCTTTTGTGTCTGTCTAACTTGTACTGTTTCCTCAATGGCTCTAGAAATAGCTGGCCACCTGTACAGAAATAAAACTGGTCCCCAAGCCTCAGCCACTGTTTTTAAAAGAGTCCACAACTTGGTGGAGAATTTACCTAGCGATTTGCTCTCCAGCCTTGGTTGGTGGTAAACACATAATAGATGCATGAAGAAGGAACTTTCCAGATTTTCCTGTTTTTTTTTTTTTCTTCTACCTGGGTTTCTAAGAGAAGATGCTGCTTTGCCCCCTGTTGTCAAGAACCTTCTATTTTAAAAGTTCCACGTGCTTTTAAAATGACATGACTCAGAAATATGATACTGACTTCCTTTGTCTTCACCTAGACTATAACAGCCTAAAAAAAAATCAGATCAATGCATTTAACACATCTATTTCATATGACAGTAAATGTGGGTTTGGAATAAAAGTGCATCTCCATGTATTTTTTTTTAAAGAAGTCTTTTTTTTTTTTTTTGGTGATACTAATAAGTTTTGCAGGAAGGAGGCAATTCACAGCCCCTAAAGCACTCTCTTCTTGTCCCTGTGGGGTTGGCCTTTGAATAGTCTTAGCTCCCAGGAATAAAATACTGAAGCACAGATAAGCGGAAATCTGACCTGAGAAAGAATAGAAGCTCTGCAGCATTTCTGGCACTTGTGAGTCTAATGTGTCTTGCTGGGAGGTTTGGTGTGCACAGATACTTACAGGTGACAATTTTGCTGAAACCAAGTCTTGCTTGTTTCTCATACTCACAGTTCAAAGGGAAAACTGCGTTGAGAATTGACCACAGCAGCTAGAAATGCCTACAGATTCAGTCTCACTTAGTTTCCTAGACAGCCATTAGGAACAGCTTTAGTTTCAATAGCCTCACACTCCACCCCCCTGAAGGAGATCTCAGGAAGTAAGGCACTCAGAGAGACAGTGGGCGATTCATAGGATGAGATCAGAGGCCTTGAGACACTGAGATCCAGCAGGACCTTAGCTAAGCTGTGGACAACTCTGTTGGCATTTGAATAAGTCACCCTGGTTGATATACAACATCTTTTCCGTAAGCATTATATTTCCCCACAGGAAAAAACAGGTGTTATTATTTCCCAACCATCTTATGAACTGTGTGTGAGTGTGTGTGTGTGTGTGTGTGTGTGTGTGTGTGTGTGTGTGTGTGTTGGGACTTGAGCCCAAGGCTTTGTGCAATGTTAGGCAAGCATTCTGCCACTGAGCTATTTCCTAGCCCCTCTATTGGATATTACCCAGTATACTTTAAGTTCAATTGTTAAATTTGAAATATAACTATTTAATCTGCAGAATAAGAGACTGTGTGAATATATATATGTATATATGTGCATATATATGCATATACATATATATGAACAAGAGTAGCCCCTGGCATTAACCTGAGGACCCTCTCTCAGCAGCACCAACATTTCATGTTTGTGGCAGACTAGGGTATTTAAGTAAGGAGGATCACAGCTTCTAAATACCAGAAAAGAATTTGGCAAGAAGAAATTTTTATTAGGGAATCCAGAAGGGGGAAAAAAAAAAAAGACTTAACGTTTTAAAAAATCTAAGCAGGTCCCGTGGAACACATCTATAATCCCAGATACTTGGGAGGCTGAGGCAGGAGGGTAGAAAGTGCTAGGCCAGCCTAGGCACCGTAGCAAGACTCTGACTCAAAATGAAAAATAAAAGGGGCTGGGGATGTAGCCAGTGGTAGAGCACCCCTGGGTTCAATTCTTCTCCCAGAACAAATTTAAAATTATAATTATTTTTCTCATTACAAAAGTAGTACATAAATTGCAAAAATTAATAAATGCAGAGACGTGTAACCATAATTCTTCTACCCGAAGGTAGCTGCGATTAACATTTGATGTTTTTGCTTCAGGGTATATACACTTTTCACAGCAAGGGGCTCATGCCGTGTATGTTGCTTTGTAAATTACTTCTTTATTCAATAACAAATCTTGAGTTTCTTTCCAAGTCAACAACCATTTTTCTACAACATCAATTAAATAACCATGATGTATCAGAAATACATAGCCCTTCTCCTATAGTTAGTTAGTCATTTAGGTTGTTTTTACTGCTATAAACAAAGTCACTATGGACAACTTTGGGGGTAAATTTTTTCTACAAATTTTTTACTTTTTCCATGACATGGATTTATGGACCAGAGAAATAGAGTGGAGGAATTTGGCTGAGGCTTTAACTGCAATACATTAACTTCCTCTTCTTTTCTCTTCCTCCCTTATTTATTTTTCCTTTCTTTTCCATTTGCAGATTATCCAAAGCCTGGAGCAAACAGAACTCTCATGGAGCAGTGAGCTCAGGCAATGCACCAATGGCGTGAGGAGTGGCCGAGCCCTGATCCAGTGTGGCCTTCTCTGGGGATGTCCTGGCAGGACCCTTTCCACTAATGAACGCTTGGCTTCTCCTCGCCTCTTCCCAATTGAGCTGAGATTCCTAGAGCTGCGTTGTGAGGGCAGCAACATCCCCGGTGTGACCTGGAGGTGGAGATTTCTGTTCTAAATTCCTCCAGCTGACAGAGTAGAATGAGCTGGTGGACTTGTTAGGAAGAGTAGCAAGGAAAGGGAAGGACACTCAGTCCATCACATGAAGTGCTAAGGCCTGTGGCAGGGACGGGGCCAGTTAGAACTCCAGGGTTTGCATCCATTGTCTGAGTCAAGTGGAGCCGACCGCATGGGGAAGAGAGGTGCAAGAGAGGTGGGTCAGCTGGCACTTTCCTGCCATCTCGCAAGTGACAGTGTCCTGGGAAGTCAAGCTGGGGCCACAGACCGGAACGGAAGGAAGTCAATCATGTAGTGGAACATAAGTAAATCTTCAAAAAGGAGAGAGGAAAACAGAAAAAATAGGTGGGGATCAGCACTCCAGCCCCATGGAAGCTGGGTGGCAATCACGGTGTGCTTGAAGAGGGTGATTTCACAGTCTGCCTGGGGATCAGGGGCATTTTTACCGAAAAACACAGAAAAGTTCATTTTTCCATTGCTCAGTCCAGGCCAGTTTCATGGTTAAAGCAAGGCTCTGGTCAAATGTTAACCACTCAGTTATCCTGGGGGAGGGGGGAAATAGCCCACCCTCAGCTGTCCCTTCTCCCAGCATTTGGGGAAAATGAAAGATTAGGTAAAATGTGTTTATTTCCTTTCATTCTCTAGTGTGGGCAGGGGTTCACATAATAGTTGGAAACCATTTTTAACAGAAAATCTGAGTGAATCCAGAAGGGATTTATTCACAGAGCTCCCTTGCTACAAAATGAGTATTATTAACCAAAACTTGACTCTTTCCCTCTTCCTCCGTCTTTTCCCCTTGTTTAGCGGCCCCCAGCTGCCACCCACCACCGTCGTGGAAAATGATGGTGGTGAATAAGGTTTAAAGTCTGAGCCCAGCAGGCTGCCTCCCCAGCCAACAGAAGCCACGGAGAGGAGCTCACGGCGAAGTGCTATATCGCCATCCAAAAAAAGCCATCCTAATTTTCTTAGACGGCAGCTTTGATCCCATTTACGGATGATGGACTGGGAGATATGGTCAGATGAGCTTTGGGGAGGACCCATTCATCCAGTGTTATTCCCATTTATAATGTGGTCTTCTGCTAAGTATTTGTGTTCTAAAATCTGCTCCCTCTGGGGATTCTTTCTCTCAGTCCTCTTAGAAAACTGATGAAAATAGATTTGCCATCCACTTCCAAAGGGGGGGTCTTTGCTCCTGTCTGTGGGAGGCCTTTTCTGGGTGGTAGGAACGCACACCGGCAGAGGAACCCTTTATTACCTCTCCTCTCACAGAACACAACCCTTCCCTCCGCGAGTCCTTCTCTCTCCCTGTGGCTGAACTTGACGGACACCCACGATGCCTCTTTCCTCTGCTCAGGTCACCTGTATGGAGCTGGCGAGGATTCCTGATGGCCGGCAGTGACCGTGGTGGAAGGTGGGGACGAAGCGACAGATTCTCCTTAGCAGAGCTGTGGAGTGTGACAATGGTGTTTGTGTCCAAACTATCAAACGCCATTATCACACTAAATAGCTACTGTTAGGCAATCCTTCCGCTCCATAAGTGTCTGGGCATCTGTTCAGTCTGGGAAAGAAGGTTTGTCGTATAGCAGGGCTCCCAATTTCTGAATAAAGTCTGGTGCTCTTGGGCTCATGTGTGTGTCTGAACGCTGCCTCTCCCCCGCCCTTGTTAAATAGATGGTGATTCTGATGATGGAGGAAGAAAAACCAGCTCAGATTTGGTTTCTCCTCTGTCTTCTCACAGTACAGATGGCTTCTGGCACCAGATGTGTGGGGATTTCTTCCCACTAGCAAGTAAGCAATTAATTCTGCAGGTGACACCAACTGGGTGTCCTCTAATCCACTGCAGTTCTGACACTGACTACCTGGAGACAGCACCAGAATCCACAGAGCGGGGGCTCAGTCCCCAAGACAGCCCCTTCCCTCCACTTCAGATGCCAATCGCAAGCCCTAGGTCATTTTCCCTTGTGCTTCTGAGCTACGGGCTTAAATTAGAGGTCCCAACAACAGTCTCCTTGGGTTCGACTAATTTGCTTGAGTGGCTCACAGACTCAGGGAAATGCTTACTTACATTTGTTAAGTTGTCATAAAGGGGACTATAAAGGACATAGAGGGAAAGATGCACAACGCAAGGTATGAATGAGTGAGCCTCTGTGCCCTCTCCAAAGAGTGTCATCCTCCAGGAACCTCCTCGTGCTCAGCTACCTGGAAACTCTCCAAACACTATTTTGTATTTGTTCATTTTGGTACTAAGGATTGAATCCAGGGGCACTTAAACACCAAGCTTCATCCCCTGACCCCTTTTGTTTTTTCAGAGACAGGGTCTCAGTAAGTTGCTTAGGGCCTCACTAAGTTGCTGAGGCTGGGTTTGAACTCCCAATCCTCCTGCCTCAGCTTCTCAAGTTGCTGGGATTACAGGTGTGCACCACTGGCCTGGCCTTTTGGAGTTTTTATAGAGACTTTATTGCATAGGTATGAGTGAAGCATGGGCAAACGTGTCAAAATGTGACTGGATAAAAAGGGGATGCTCTTTTGCCAAGACTGGGTGGGAAACCTAGCAAGGTTGTCTGTTCCAATTCTTCTTGGCCTCTGTGTGCAGAACTCCTCCTGTGAGCATGGAGCAGGACGCCCTGGAATGAAGAGGTTTTAATGACTTGCCATGAGACAAGGTAGGTCAAAATTATGAGCCAGGAACTGAGGGCAAAACCCCAAAATATCATAATATCACCATAGTGATGAATTTTCTTATTTTCCTGGGTTAATGAAAAGATTAGAGTCCCCCAGTGTACCCAGCACCAAGTTAGGTACCTGGTAATCATTCAACCCATGCTTGTTGAGTTGAGTGAATAGTTTGGGAAGTGTGAGGTGCACAAAACTGAAATTGTGTTAAATCTGGTTATGCAAACCACAGGCACAGGGGTGTTAAAGTAAATGACTCCTTTTCATCATTAAAAAACCCTTATAATAAATTTGTACGTGGCTTAAATAACCTTTCAGAAATTCTAGAATATATTTGATTTCTACTGATTTTAACCAATTACCAGGCTGATTGCAAATTGTACGCAGGGTCCTTCTTTAAGTTTTGATGAATTACCATCAGAAAATTACATATAAACAGTAATGTTAGTGGCCACGGAAAACCTGAACATGTTAAAGCCCTGCAGCTTCTGAAAGAGTTGGCCCAACTGGGTGGTCTGGTTGGGAACACATTCTCTTTCTGAGAAGCATCCGGAGTAAGGAGCAGTTTCTCTATGTGGCTAAGGCCTCCCTCCTGTGACTTGGCTACATGAACTAGTCTGTTTAATCAAATTTTCAGGATTGGATCAACCATCAGAAACAAATTCATTCACTCAATCAACCATTTATTTATCAAATAAATATGTATAGAGTGACTTCCACATGCCCAGCACTTTCCTAGACCCGGGAGAAACTTTTGAATTAAATATGCCTGACATTATTTCCAGAGATGATAGACATTCACTGGCTCACATTCTGTTTGGGATCTTCTAATGATTCCAATTGCATTTACTATGAAACCCAATGAGCAAGTTGATTCCAAGTTCCCTGCTAGAAAGCACCACAAAAATGCAGCCCACACTGTCAAAAAGAGACCCAGACCCTCGCCCCCATGAAATAATTAACACACTTTCCTTTGTATGAGTGTGTTTTCTGGAGAGACTACGAATTGACTGAGCATTGTTAGAGGGCTTTACTATTGCAGGAAAGTTACTCTCATGCACACTGTTTGATTTGATCTATACAACACTGGGAAAAGAAGGCAAGTTGTGGTTCCCTCCCACAGAGGGCAGAGACTCCGGATGCTCCGGAACCATCTGGTCATGCAACCACAACTCAACATGAGGCTCTTACGTCTAAAGTTAGGAGCTTTATGTGTAGCCTTCCTTGACCTGGTTATTCCACAAAACCTCAAGCTCCATGGCTGAGTCTGTGTAGAAACCAGGTCAATCACACCACTGTTGGATCGATATCCTCCACCCCCCACCTGCTTGGTCAACAGACTCTGAGGGAAAACCCTAAATAAGAGAGGGATGTGTCATGTGACAGTCTTTCCTTTCGAGGGTTCCTAATTCAGGGAAAGCCCAACACTGTCATGGAAAAACGTGAGGAAAGAGAAGGAACATATATGCGGTGGTTTGAGGTCAGGAAGGAGCAGAGACATCTCAGTGACTTGGCCAACTGAGACACCCCTGAAGGCTTCTGACTTTTCAGTCTCCAAATTGTTCCCAGGTTTGAGGACAATGTGAGCACTTGGCCCTATTGACTCCTCTTCCCTCCACTCATCCTGAGACTTTGCTCTGATGGATATGAACTGGGAAGAAGAGAAGGACAAACTTTCTTTTCTACTAGCTTGGCTCCTTTGCTGTCTTATTACAGTGGCTGCCTGGGTTAGTTCTGCATTCACCTTTGGAGTCCTGTTCTTTCTGTAGATCTCTAAGGAACATACATAGAAAGCCAAAGTTCCACATCCACACTTTAAAGACACATTTTACAAAAATCCTGCTGCTCCAAATCTGTGACGATAGAGCATCCTGTCCAGACCAGCTTTCATCTTCTCCCCTGCCCCAGAGATTTCCAGCCAGTCATTTCCAATAAAGTATTCCTGGGGTCACTTATTGACTCCAAATTTGTCAGATGAAAAAGTCCACGTACTTGGGCACGCCTTACATTCACACCGGAAAGGGGGCGGCAGAGCATAGGCAGCCTCAGTGACTTGTTTTCCTCTCCAGGAGACAGACCACTTGAGTCTGCCTTTGCTTTGTGGATCACGCTGGTAAGGCCCTAAGAGTCCTTTCATCTTAGCACAATGTGTTCCTTGAACATGACAATTTCCACTTAGGGCCTGCCCTACTTTTCATCCAGCGCCAGGGGAGGTTCTGCGAAATTACGTGGCAGTTACCATATGTCAGTGGTTCATCCACACATACTTCTGAACTCTTTTTTTTTTTAAACCTATAAAATTCTCCACTTGCATAATTTTTTTTCACAGTATTATCTTTATTTAAGTATCAGAAATATTTTCAGTTTTAAAAAATGAACCCAGTTTAAAAAAATGGTTTCAGTAGTTTGCAGTATTCGTAACTTGATAGAATGGAAAAAAAATGGAGTTTTATCTTTTTTTATATTGTTGTTCTTTTTAGTTATACAGGACATGGAGTAGAACGTCCCATTCTTGTGGTTGTACATGATGTGGAGTTATACTGGTCGTGTATTCATATATGAACACAGGAAAGTTATAGTCTTTCCCATTCCCAACCTCTTGCCTTCCCCCCACCACTCCCTCCTGTCCAATCTGGTGAACTTCTACTCCCCTCAACCTGCCCATTGTGAGTCAGCATCTGCATACCAGAGAGAACATTCAGCCTTTGGTTTGGGGGATTGGCTCATTTTGCTTAGCATGATTCCAATTCTCAGAGAAGATAATAGTATTCTAGAACTGGAAACCAGTTTACTTTTTGTTCTAATGAGGAAATTGAAACTAGGATATTCTAGAATTCACTGACTGGGTCCATGTTTATGATCTCTGTCTCTGGCATCATAATCCATTCACTAAGTAGACCTGTTGGGTGGCTGCTCTGAGCCTGGTATTGTGCAGGGCTTCAGGGTGCAAAAAGGAATGGGACTGGGTCCTTTACCTGAGCTGCTCTCCATCTGGGAGTTGAATAAATGCCTGAACACATCTGTGCTTCACTGGTCCCAAGGTGCCAGCACAGAGACACAGAAGGCTGAGACACTTGGATTAGGCCCTTCATTTCCCTCCGGATGAGGAAACCCTGATCCTTGAATGTCATGATCTCTTTTGTTACTATTGTTTATTTTGGTGGATTCAATGCCACCAGGTCACAGGGAAGGGCATGCCTTTATTTGGGGTGGCAATGCTGTAACGTGGTCTTGCTGCTTTTATTCTGCCCCTTGACAACCTAATGAGGAGCCCAGGATCTGCTGGAGGTTAGAGGGTGGCTCCGGATGCTTTTCAGTTATGTGTGTGAAGAACTTTAATTTCCCACAGGAGCTGGCGAGGATGTGAGCTGGCTGTTCATATTGGGGACGGGGCTGATAATGTAGGAACCAGGCCAGGTCCCCGGGCTGTTCCCTCCCAGTGCTGCCTCGTCCATAGTCACAAAATGCCTACTCCAAGATCCCAATGAACACTGCACTGCCCCTCAGCTGCTTCTCCCTCAGGACAGGCTCAATGAAGCTGCTGGTCCAGAGCCACAAGAGTGCTCTCAGGGCCTGTGTGGGAGTGGAGGGATGGGGTATCCACCGTCCTCTCTTTAATATCCAAATTTCTTTCCAAGCTTTCCAAAGGAAAAGGAAAGGGTCCATAGTACACACACAAAAAAAAAAAAGCTCACAGAAATATAGCTTCCCCTGGAGATTCTGAAGGACCTGGGCACATGACATCTTAATTTAGAAAACAGTATCACATGTGATCTGAAAAAAGATTTATGTGACACAAATTTATGCACTTAGAGTATTTAACCACAGTGCACAGGAGGCAAGGACAAGGACACAAACTCTGGCGCTGACTGACGCACTCATTCATTCAACCAAGTTCAACCACAGGTTCCCACAAGGTGCCAGACCTTACAGAGTCACTGGTCACTGAGAATTCAAAGATGAGATGATCACCCAATCTAGCAAAGGACTCAGACAGGCCATGAGTAATGGCTTCGTGGAGCTGTAGGGGCTCTAAAATAGGCAGGGGCATCTCCGGGCTTAAGGAAGGAAACCCTGTAGTAGGTGACCAAGGTGTGAATGAGCAAAAGAGCCAAGTGCTCCAATGCTTCTGGTACTTCTGGCAGCCACCGAGTGAAAGTCAACATTGTGATCTCGGCAAGCCTGGAAGAGAGGTTTCCACCTTGGCAAGAGGCCGGGTTACCTTCAAGTTCCCAAAGCATTGCCCGCCATTTCTCTCCAGAGCACAATTGAACTGTGAACCTGAAATTTATTTGAAGGGGATTTTCCCCTCTCAAAATGCAGCCAAGCACCCACAAAAAGAGATCAGCTTTAATTAAAAGAAGCACATTGCTCTACTTAGCAAATGTGTGTGTGTTATTGCACGTGGAGAATTTCAATTTCTAAAAAGACCTAGGTAAAATGCCTTTAAAGTCTTATTCAACTAGAACTTCTTTTGAACCAGGAAAACCAGGGCTAGAGCTCTGACATGGGCCTAGCCTAGGCCGCACTTTGCTTGGGACACTGCCCCCTAGTGGTAGGCTATGCCTCTGCCCGTCACAGCAGCCGTGGGTCTAAAGGATTTCAGGTTTGCTCTTAAGTATTCCACAGGGATTGCATTAGGCCTTCCCCTGACCACGAAATCCGGCTTTAATTTTTGTAAAGTACATTTTCAAAGGCTTGGGGCAGAGAGGGAAGAGAGTGGAAGTGACTGTTCTATTGAATATCTGTTGACCCATTAAATACAACAGACAAGAACTAATTTTGTTCTACCTACATGACTAGTTTCTTCCTTTTCATTTTCCTGGCACATTTAGCCCAGTAAAGAGCTAATTAAAGTCCTTCCCATTTCTTAGGGTTGCTTGTCTTCCCTGTAGCACATCTTGCCCTGCTTCTCTGCTTGGCTTCACATTGCAGCTGGGTACGAAGACGTCAGAGATTGTCTCCCACATACTTGGAGGCGCCAGCTACTGTATTTCTAGTCTCTCTCACTGACAACTGTGTCTGAGATTTTTCTTGTCTCTCCCATGTCTCTGCAGGAGCCAACTATATATCTCAGAGTAGGTCTCTTGCTCAGCAATTAGAATGCTGGATTGGGAGAGACAGAAAAGGACAGCTATGTGTCCTTTAGGACATACCACATCACCACCCCAAAGTGTAAGATATTTTATTTGCAAGAAGCAATTTTTTTTCCTTTGGTTATCTCAAGTAACTCATTCTTAGGGCAGTATTTTTAAGGATCTATTATGTGCAAGGCACTGTATTTCTCCAGGTGGAAAGAAAGGCAGGGGAAGAAGTCTCAGGCAAAGGAAATAGCACATGGGAGTTTCTGAATGGGATGGACTTTGACCAGCCAAGGAACTGGAAGCACATTGGTGTGGCAGGAACATGACAGGCGAGGGAAAGATGGAGAATGGACAGAGACTGCTGCAAGTTCCTGGCGTCAGGACAGAGAAAGAATGCACAAGGAGGACAGGCATGGTGAACATCATCTCTAGTGGTCATGCCTTCTCTGATGGGATCACTGAGACTGGGGACTGGGGACTGAGAGCCTGCAGGCCTAATCTGGCCTGCTATCTGCTTTTGTATGAACTAAGCATTGTCATTACACTTTTTAAAAGTTGAAAAATAATAAAAGAATACTTCATGATATGCAAAATTTGTATGAAATTCAATTGCAAGGGAGATGTGTGTGAAAATTCAAGAATATTTTATAAGTCGAATATGAAATCTCATTCCACCAGATTTTATGTGAAAAATCTCAGGCACAGTTAGTGCTCAGTGAGAGGGACTGGAAATACAGTAGCTGGTACATTCACGTAAGTGGGAGATAATCTCCAAGTCTTTGTATGCAGCTGCAACTGGAAGGTCAATAAATAATGTTTTATTGGAAGTTACCAGTGGTCCCTGTCTGCCCAGATTATTTAAGTTTAGCACTGATAGTCTTAGGTCTTGGAAAACTTATCAGTCTCAGGCAGACTAGGAAGATTTGTCATCTGGGTGGTTGAGTAGTTATGACAAAGACCACATAGTCCAGTGAAGTTTAAAACATTTGTTCTCTGGTCCTTGACAGAAAAAGGTTGCTGATACTTGATCAAGAAGACCAAGAAGGGCCTGGGGTTGTGGCTCAGTAGCAGAGTGCTTGCCTAGCATGTGTGAGGCACTGGTTCAATCCTCAGCACCACATAAAAAACAAGTTAATAAACAAAGATATTGTGTGTCCCTCTACAACTAAAAAAAAAATGGAAAAAGAAAACCAAGAAGGTTTTAGATATCTATATAAACATACTGACAAGCGATATATAATAATAGACAGGGCATCAGATAAGGCAAGACAACACAACTATACAATACAACTTCAGGAGCATGTGGATGGAGCTTCTTTATTTTCCCCGTTGTAAGTTGATTCATTTTAAAACTTAAACAAGATTGTGTCACTCTGCTGCTCAAAATCCTTCTATGGCTTCCCATCCCATTGGAAATAAGATCCAAGACCTCCCCTCCTTTCATCTGCACCTTACTTGCTCCACCACACCCATCTTCTTGTTGCCACCCATGCTAAGTGCCCTCTTGCCTCAGGACCTTTACAATTGCTGTTCCTTTTATCTGGACAATTGACCCTAGATAAATATATGCTATACTTCTTCATTTATGTATCAATTCAAAGTTCTTTTTTTTTTTTTTTCCTGGACCAGCGATTGAACTCAGGGACATTCAACCACTGAGCCATCCCCTCTTTTTTACTTTTTTATTTTGAGACAGGATCTCACTAAGTTGCTTAGAACCTCAATAAGTTGCTGAGGCTGGCTTTGAACTTGCAATCCTCCTGCCTCAGCCTCTCGAGCTGCTGGGATTACAGGTATACGCCACTATGCCTGGGGGCTCCAAGTGGCCTTTTTAGAGGCTTCCCCATCATCATAGAACCCTGTGCCTCCTATCGCTTGTTAGTATGTTTATATTCTGTGTCCATGCTAGAAGGTCAGACCTATGAGGACAGGGACCTGACTGTATTTCCAGTTCAGAGAACAGAGATAATCGTGTGATGGGTTGGCAGCAAATATTTACTGAATAAATGAATGGCTGGTGAAGTCAATGATTTTTTTATGTCTCCAGGATTATGTACCTACTCAATGGCTTGTATTATTGCTAATCAGTATTTCATTTTACCAATGTTCATCCTGTTACAATTATGGAACTGGCTGTCTCGGTCACCTACTGGCCTTGTTTCCTATCAAACATCTAGTCTTTGATCCTCTGAAATCTACCCTGTGTATCCCATACCAGATACCAGCCCGAAATGCTGCCCCTTCTCTCTTCCTAGGGATGCAGTCCATCCAGAGGTGGACTCAGGGTGATTTCTTCAACCCCCTGAAACTGGCAATGACATTTTATGCATAGATGCATTTTTCTTGGGTGAGGATCCAGAGCTGTCAGCTAATCCATAAGAGTCCTCAAATCTCAGAAGGCCAAGGAGTTCTGAATTTAAGCGACAGCAGTCCTGTGTCCACAGGGTCTAGTCTGTGGGGTGCTTTCTGCTCTCTGTGCCTTGCCTTGCCTGCGTTCTTCCTACTCTCATTGGTGCCTCCTTTCTGTCAATTTCTGAAACCGTGGATTCAAGTTGGTGAATATAAAAAGGGAGGAGACCTAAGCATGTGACAGGAAGGGTCTTCAGGAAGAGGGGTAACAGGCGGCAGGCAGTTTGACCTTGGCAGGGAAGTCATTAGGTCCCAAGGCAACCTAGCAAAGAAGCGACACACCAAGCACTCTGCCTGCACTGACTTCAGCTGGACCGGCTCAGGTTCACCCTGCCTTGAGCAGAGGCCCAACCTGCCTGAAGCCACCTTCTTTCCTTCATGCAGGAAAATTCCTACTGAGTGCTCATGATAGACACACAGAGATAAAATCTATCCCTGTCTTCAGGAAACTAGAAGATTGTACCCAAATGCAAAGAGGGGGCTCTTTAAGGACATACACTTGGGGACTCAAAGGAGGACGTCCTGGAGAGGTGGCATCTGAGTGCAGGCTTGGGAGACCAGGGGGAGGTTATTCAGATGGAAGAGGAGGGGAAAGCCCCGCATGAGCTTCTGGGTGCCACTGCCTGAAATTCCCTTAGCTGTAACAATCTTTGTGTTCGCCTTTCCATAGAGGGGAAGAGTAAAGCAAATCCAAGACCTACTGGGGCGCCAGCGGTGGGGAGGGCAGGCAACAGGCACAGAGAAGGAGGCTGGGGACTAAAGAAAACACACTTCACCCGCAACCGCTGCGCTCCTGACCAGCAGTACCAGCATCACCTGGGAGCTCGGTAGAAGTGCAAATCATCTGGCAAACCACAGACCCCTGAAATCAGAAACTCTGCCAGGGCAGCACCCTGCGTTTGAACAACCTTCCGGGATTCGGCTGCAGGCTCAGATTTGAAACCTGGTTTACTGTGGTTCTCTTTAGTGTTTATTGAGAGTGACTGAGCCGATCAATCCACCAATTACTCCGCTTTGGAAGGGAAAAGTGTGCGTGTCCTCAGCGCTGGCCGCATGCTTAGAACTCGCCTGGAGCTAGAAAGGCCACGCCCCGGCCACGCCCCCTAAGACCCTGCGAGGGACCCAGATGTGAGCGTTACAGCACACTAACGACGCCCGCCCGATGCTGGTGCAAGGGTGGAGCACTGCAGTAAAAGGAGGTGAGGTGCTGTGCTTTGAATGGCTTGGAGAACTTTGGTCTTAAACATGTACATCAGAGGTAAAGGTGCGTACCAAGTGACAAGTGATTTAGATAAAAGGATCTTTTTCCCCCTTGGTATCAGGGATTGATTTCTGCGGCGCAGGGTCTCACTAAGTTACTTAGAGGTTTGCTAAGTTGTTGAGGCTGGTTTTGAATTTGCACTCCTCCTGCCTCAGCCTCCCGAGCCGCTGGTATTACAGGCCTGCTC